TCAGATGGAACCGAGCGCAGGAGCCCTGCCATCGCCTGGCGATCGTCGTGGTACTCATCCTCGTCGGCGTCGGTGTCGATTCCGAGGTCGACGGCGTCCCAGACACGAAGAGTCTAGAAGTTCACCTCCATAACCAACGCCCACTCTGGATAATTTGTCCGGGTTAGCATCGGCCAGGAGACGTTTGCGGACGGCCGCTCGATGATGCGCTCGACGACGCGTGACCCGGCATCCCGGGTGCGCGACTGGCGATGGCGGCTGTTGGAACGTCCCCGGCGACGTGGTGGCAACTTCGACAGCTTTTCTTTCTTTCCACCGGAGCCATCTCCTGTCTCCAGCTTCTTTGCTGGTGACTGCGACATGGTGACGATGGAACTGGCTCTGATGCCAATTGACAGAACGCCGAACGGAGGAAGACAACACACGCGAACACAAAGTGGACACAGGGAATTTTGGTGCTGCAAAGCGGCAGCGTTTTCTGATGTCTCTCATTTCTATATAAAAGAAATACATGCAGTCATACATGGTTAGAAACAAACTGAGTAAATCACGGCATGCTCGTGATCGACTGTTGACATCCCAACACCCTGGGACATGCCGCATACTATGCCTAGCCGCTAATGACTCTAACTGCCTTTTATGATCAGCGAGCTCAGGGCTTATTCAAACAGCCGCCGCCGAGGGCGCCTTCAGGCTGCTACGGGAGGCACACGATGAAGCCCTCTCGCCGCCGCCGCCCGGCCCTCCTGCTCTAGCCCGGCGGACTGAGACACGAGCACTCCCCCGCCTCCGGCCGCCGCCGCCGGCCAGGCCCAGCCTCCGCGCCCGAAGGTGACAGTGCTGATGATGATGCAGCCGCCGGTGCAGAAGCCGTGCGAGCCCATCCTCATCTACTGCCCCTCTTGCAAGAACGAGTTCCGCGGCATGGTCGGGTGTCGGGAGCGGCGGAACGGCATGAGGTGCGCCCTCTGCCCCGTGTGGCTCAACACGCCGTGGCAGACGAAGCCATCGACGGAAAAGAAGCCTCCGGCCGCGCGCGGGGCGGTAGGTGTTCCAGTGCTCGAGCAAGTGTCGCAGGTGTGGAGAGCGGTACACGTCCATGGTGTGTGTCGGCCGGTGGTGCCTCCAGTGCAAGGTGTGCTCCATGGCAGCCATGGTTGATGTGCGCGAACCCGATCAAGCCACTGCCTCTATCAAAAGCCCGAGCTCATCCCCTCCCCTCACTGCGTGGTGATGGCTGGACTGCTGGAGGTTGAAGGAGATCTGACTTGTGGGGCTCGTGTGTCAGCGATGGGGAGAGGGAGGAGAATAGAGAAGCCAGGGGCAGGGGCGGTCATTTTACCTAAGGCTGCTGACTCGATCCAAGCTGGATTGCGGTGCTGGCGTGCCACGCGAGTAAAAGTGGTAAATGTGTATCGATTTTCTCTCTCTGCTGCTAAAATTGTATCGTCAATTCTAAGAATGCTATTTGAGGAGTCACCATCCGTTATGATGGTAAAAAATTAAATATCCCCTGACGGAAGTGCGGCCTAGATGGCCACCATGACGCCGCGGAATAAGCACTGTTTTACAATCCCCTCCTGTTAGTGTTTTTTGGTCAGTTTTTTTTAAGTTTGGATCAGGAATCAGGATGTATGGAAGAAGACCCACGCATTTTACGAGATACCCTATTGTGAATTGCGACCAAGGCCTTATTTAGTTCCTCATCTAAAGTTTAGTCCCTATCCCATCGGATGTTTGACATATGTATGGAGTATTAAATATAGACTAAAAAATTACTAATTGCACATATTGCAACTAATTTGTGAGACGAATTTTTTAAGTCTAATTAGTCCATGATTTGACAATGTGGTGTTACAGTAAAGTTATAGTAAACATGTGCTAATGACGGATTAATTAGGCTTAATAAATTCGTCTTCAGAGTACTGAGGACTTCTGTAATTTATTTTATTATTACTATCCGTACACTCACATATGACACTCCGATGTGACACCCCTAAATTTTAGCCCATAGATTTAAACACCACCTAAATAATATTTTACATAGAAAGAAGTCTAATTTTGATGGCGTGTGCTAAGGCAAAAGAAAAGGTATAGAAATTGCTGAGTTTGATGGCTCGGACAAGTTTGTATAGCTGAATACACAATGTATAAAGTTAGGTTAACGTTGAGCCCAAAAATTACAGTTCAAGATATATTCATGAGGAAGTGGTTGATACTAAGATAACATGGAGATCGGTGCGGGGAGGGGCCACATGGAGACCGGAGAGCGACGCGGGGAGACATGGTCAACAGTCGATATTTCGAGAGAGACTAAGATCTTTAGTAAAACGTGAGCTAACCACATCAGGAACTGATTGAACCTGTAGACATGAAGAAAATTGACATGCAATAGACAGATAAAACCGCCAGATGGTAAAACACGATACGCCGAATTCATGTGGACTCCCTGGCCGTTCTCCAAATTATCACTCTGTTGTAGATCCATCACCCGTTGTAGATCTACTAATGTGTAAAGTTAGGATAGAGTTAAACTCAAAGATCGCAGTTCAAGATATCATGAGAAAGTGGTCTGAAAGGATCAAGATGTCCAAGAGGAGAGATGAATTGGGCTAATTCTAATTTTTTGTAATAATTAAGCCCTACACTTAACCCATTTCACCCCTTGTGTCTAAAATGTGTTTCTATTATTCTCCCGTACAAAAGTTTTGCACCCTAGGTTCTAATTCTACTTTAGCATGGCATTTCTAGAAATGTAAAGACATGAAATGAATTGCTCAAATATAAATGCTCAAAATAAAGTGAGGGAAAGAAACACGGCGATATTTTCCCGAGGTATCGGAGAGTCGCCACTCCCCACTAGTCCTCGTTGGAGCACCCGTGCAAGGGTGTAGCTCCCCCTTGATCCGCGCAAGGATCAAATGCTCTCTACGGGCTGATTTTTTGACACTCCGTCGCGGTGAATCACCCACAACCGCTCACAAAGTGACTTGGGTCATCCACACGCTCCGACGGATGATCACCAAGCTCTCAATCACCACCGAGCCATCTAGGTGATGGCGATCACCAAGAGTAACAAGCATAAACTCTCACTTGACCAAGACAAGCCTAATGAGTAAGGTGGATGCACACTTGCTACTCCCTATGCACTAATGAGGTCCTTAATCTTGGATTATCAAATCTCAATCACCCCACTAGGCTCTTGCTCTCCTTTGCACTCCAAAGATGATTCTCAGCTGAACAAATGGGCAAGAGACCTCAAATGGACGAGCGAGATATGTATTTATATCCCCCATTCAAAACATAACGGTTGAGGTCCAACTCAGCAAGTATCGGGATGACCGAACGCTCCGGTCAAGGTGACCGGATGCACCGGTCAGTATAATATGTCAGCATGTCAGAAAGAGCCGTTTACTCTGACCGGACTCTGGCCTGCGTCCGATCATCAAAAACCGTCTCTAGAACCTTACTAATGTTGACCGGACGCTGGTACCCAGAGTCCAGTCACTTCTCTGTACATCGTCTGGTCCGTGGTCAACAGCCAGTCCACGCTGCTACAGATACAGCTAGCGTCGCGTCCAGTGAGCACTGGTGTCCAGCGTCCGGTCGCACTCTGGCTGCTGCCGATCAAATGAACTGATCGGACTCTCCAAGCTGCGTTCGGTCACAACCAAACCAGCGTCCGGTCAGTCATTTGACCCTCCATTTACTTCCAATTCGAATTTCTTTGTGAATGAAGTTGACTTCTATCAATCTTAGGGCTATTTCTGAGCTACCTAGTGCTAAGTTTGACAAGTGTGCACCACACCTAATCCATTAGACTCACCTAAGTTAAGCTACTAGTCCATATCCCCCTTAATAGTACGGCCAAAGAAAAAACAAAATTCTAAACTACTCTAAGTGTCTCTCCAACACCAAATGACACTAAGAACTAGTCCATTCTTAATCTTGTCGTCCATCCTTTAAAAATCAAAATGATTTTCATCGACAGGGGCATGACAACCATGATTACCCAATCAATTTCTATTACCATGACCTAACTCAAATTTCCTCTACAAAACACACGTTAGTTATAGTAACCTTGTATCGTCATTAATCAAAAAAACCCCAACTGGAGCTCTAGATGCTTTCACGATCGGTACGAAGACGACGTGGAGATCGATGCAGGGATGGACGGAGGGGGGCAAGGACGGGAGGCGGCGTGGATACTAGAGAGCGACAAGGGGATGCGTGGCCAGTAACCGTTTTTTTCGAGATAGACTGGGATCCTCTTTGGTAAAGCATGAGGTAATCATGTGGGGAACCGGTTGAACCCATAGGAAAGAAAAAAAATTGACGGGTAATAGACGGTCAAAACTGCCAGATGGCAAAACATGATACACCAAATCCATACGGACGCCTTGCCATTCTCCAAATTATCACTCGTTATAGATCTACTAATATGTAAAGTTATGATAAAGTTGAGCCCAAAGATCTCAGTTCAAGATATATATATGAGAAAGTGGTCGATAATAAGATGATGTGGAGAGATGATGTGGAGATAGGAGTGGGGATGGATGGAGGGGGCAAGGACAGGGAGATGCGAGAGCGACGCAGGGATGCGTGGTCAGCCATCGATTTTTGTTTAAGAGATTGGGATCCTCTTTGGTAAAGTGTGAGGTAACCGCATGGGGAACCGATTGAACGTGTAGGCATGAAGAAAATTGACGGGCAACAGGTAGTCAAAACTGCTAGGCAGCAAAACACGGCAATACACGACACGCCAAATCCACGTGGACGCCTTCTCTAATTTATCACTAGTTGTAGATCTACTAATGTGTAAATTTCGAATAAAATTAAGCCAAAGATCACAGACATAATGAGAAAATGGTCAATACTAAGACGACATGGAGATTGACGCGGAGATGGACGGACCCGTCCACATCCAGTTCGTGCAATGAGCGCGCTGACCGACCGCGTGGAGTTGGAGTTGGAGTGGGAAGGCCGTGTCGTCCACGCGCATGCCGTTGCCGTGGCTTCTGCATCCTCCAGCCGTGCTTCCACTCCGTGTCTGGCTGCAGGAAGCCGAGAGTCCGAGCCGACACGCCAGCCACTCGCTCCTCAGCTGCTCTACTAACAGGTTCCTCTGCATTTGGCTCTGGACCTGGTAGATTATGTAACCCTGCGAAAAGTAGTGTGTGAATGTAAGGAGCAGAGCAGACAAGACCCAAAGTGTTCTTCTAAGAAAAAGACACAGAAAGGGACGCAGCGCTAGCTTTGTTCTGCTCAGCAGACTCTTGTTAAAGCCTCGACAGTGTTTAGTGCCATCCACTTGCTGTTCTGCAGTCGACACCACGAGAAAAGAGTAGCCACCCGTGATGACAGATAATCATACAACGACCACTATGAAATGTGCAACTGCACCCACTAACCAGGCAAGCAATCATCGTCAACATGAACATGATCAAGATGCCCTGGAAAAAAAACACGACATCTTTAGGTCACTACCTGAATAATTTCGATCGGCCATGTTTCACAGCAGCTTGCTTCAGGCACTCCACTCTCCGGGGCTGCTTCAAATCTGTCTGCCAGTCCTCGTGCACACGCTGCATGCCCAGTTTACTTCCAGCCAGAGCCGAGGTCCATCACGCACCTGTGGAACAGGGGAGGGGGGCATGGAAAACAGCCGCAAACGTGCACACTGCATCAGCTGCAAGGATAACAGAAAGTAAACACCTCGGGCCGAGGCGGCTAATCAGACGAAGAATAGTACACCAGGTCGCCCTCAACCACCACCATGTTGATGCCTTGACCGTGGCGCCGATGATTGATCTAAATTATGTGCCTTTTCCTGTTCACCAAATAGGGTGTAGGACATGCGATGCCAGTCCTGAGATAAGGTAAATTCATGCAGGCTCTGTGTTGACTGTAGAGTGAATCTGACAAAATAGGGTATGTCAGATCAGGTAAATCATGTCACACTGTAATAATTCAACACGGATTGATTCAAGGATGACTGGGAAAAGAAAAATATTTTGTGCAACCAGGAAGCGTGGTCACTGGTCAGTTGAACTTCTTAATTGATCATACAAGGTAGCCACCAATGAGACGTCAAAGTGCTAACAAGCGACCTGCTGTGTCTACTGCATAAAATACAATCGGTATGAGGAAATTGTTATAGCATCTAATCCTTGACTCCATTTTTCTCTCTGCTAGCCACACCAAGAAGGGATCAGAAAGATGGAAGAGAGGGCTTCCTCCTCCTCCTACCCTATTCACTTCCCTGATTATATCATTTGGTGCTGCCTGGACAGGACATAGGTTCAGCATCTGGTTTCCATGCTTGTCTCGATTAGAAGCCATGCAGTCACTCCACTTTTCATACAAGAAATACAGGAGTAGATTACCCATACCAGTTCTTGCCATTGCTCTTGTGCTGCTGATCTCTCTGGCCACCCCCACCAGTTCCTGCACAGAGCAGGAGAAGACATCTCTCCTCCAGTTCCTTGCTGGGCTCTCGAAGGATTCTGGTCTCGCCAAGTCATGGAAGGAAGAAGGAACTGATTGCTGCAAATGGCAAGGGATCACCTGCAACGGTAACAAGGCGGTCACTGAGATCTCTTTGCCATGTAGAGACCTTGAAGGGTCCATCGGACTGTCTCTTGGAAACCTCACCAGTCTACAGCACCTTAACTTGTCCTACAACACTCTGTCCGGTGTCCTGCCACTAGAATTGGTGTCTTCCAGCAGCATCATCGTCCTTGACGTCAGCTTCAACCACCTCAGTGGAGATCTGCATGAGCTGCCTTCTTCAACCCCTGGCCAGCCTCTAAAGGTACTTAACATCTCAAGCAACTTGTTTACAGGGCAGTTTACATCCACGACATGGAAGGGAATGGAGAATCTAGCCGTGCTCAATGCCAGCAACAATAGCTTTACTGGTTTGATACCAAGCCATTTCTGTAACATATCTCCATCCTTTGCTGTGCTTGAACTCTGCTACAACCAATTCAGTGGTAGAGTTCCTCCGGGGCTTGGTAATTGCTCCATGCTGAGAGTGTTCAAGGCTGGCCAAAACAACCTCAGTGGGGCACTCCCAGATGACATTTTTAATGCTACCTCGTTGGAGTACTTGTCTTTACCTAGCAATGAGTTACAAGCTGCACTAGATGGTTCACACATAACGAACCTCAAAAATCTGACAACTCTTAATCTTGGAGGGAACAACTTCAGCAGCAGTATTCCAGATTCCATAGGTCAGCTCAAGAGACTGCAGGAGCTCCATCTTGACCACAACAGCATGACAGGAGAGCTCCCATCAACTCTGAGCAGCTGCACAGATCTCATAACAATTGACCTCAAGAGCAACAGCTTCAGTGGAGACCTTGTCAAGGTCAATTTCTCCACCCTTAAAAATCTAAGAACTTTAGATCTCTTGTACAACACTTTCACTGGCACCATTCCAGAGAGCATCTACTCTTGCACTAATCTGACTGCACTGAGGCTATCAGGTAACAAGTTACATGGTCAGCTTTCACAAAAAATAGTTAATCTGAAGTCGCTCACCTTCCTATCAATAGGCGGAAACAATTTTACAAATGTCACAAATACACTTCAAATCCTCAAGAGATTCAGGAACCTAACGACTTTGCTTATGGGATCCAGTTTCATGGGTGAGTCCATTCCGGAGGACGAAACAATACATGGTTTTCACAATCTTCAGTTTCTGAGTATGGCTAATTCCTCATTATGTGGAACAATACCACTTTGGTTATCCAAGCTAACTACTTTACAGATCCTAGATTTATCTGGTAATCAACTCACTGGACCAATACCTGCATGGATCAACAGACTAAAGTTCCTCTTCTATCTAGATATATCGAACAACAGCTTTATAGGGGAAATTCCAAAATCTTTAATGCAGATGCAGATGCTAACATCAAAGAATACTGCAGCGCATTTTGATCCAGGAATCCTTGAGCTGCCTGTTTATCAAGGACAATCGCTTCAATACCATGGGATTAGAGCTTTTCCAACAGTGTTGAATCTTGCAAGTAACAACCTTACAGGGGCAATTCCTCAAGAGATTGGTCAACTGAAAATGCTCTTGTCACTCAATATAAGCCACAACAACTTATTCAAACAGATCCCACAATCAATCTGCAACCTCACAGACCTCGAGGTACTGGACTTATCCAATAATCATCTCACTGGAGCTATCCCGGTTGCACTGAACAATCTGCACTTCCTTTCCCAATTTAGTGTGGCTAACAATGACCTTGAAGGGCCTATTCCAACTGGAGGACAGTTTAGCACATTTTCTATTTCTAGTTTCGAAGGGAACCCAAAGTTGTGTGGTTCTATCCTCTTTCGTAGCTGTGGATCTACTGGAGCACTTCCAGTCTCCACGAAACAACACAACAAGAAGATCACTTTTGCAATTGCATTTGGTGTGTTCTTTGGAGCAGTTATAATTCTTCTATTGCTTGTGTGTTTCCTCATCTCAACCAAGGGTACAGCATCCATAAGAAAGGATACAAGTACAGCCACTGAGGATGTAGGAGCTTCACGCTCTAATACAGAGCAACCATTTGTGATAGTTCCACAAAGAAAGGGAGAAGGAAGTAATTTCACATTCATCGACATCGTGAAGGCAACAAATAAGTTTGACAAGGAGAACATCATTGGATGTGGTGGCTATGGACTAGTATACAAGGCTGAGCTACCTGATGGGTCCAAGCTCGCCATCAAGAAGCTTAACGGTGAGATGTGCCTCATGGAAAGGGAATTTACTGCAGAAGTTGATGCGTTGTCCATGGCACAGCATGAAAATCTAGTGCCACTGTGGGGCTACTGCATCCAGGGGAACTCGAGGTTCCTAATATATTCCTTGATGGAAAATGGCAGTCTGGACGATTGGCTTCACAACAGTGATGATGATACCAGCACATCTCTTGACTGGCTGACGAGGCTCAGGATTGCCCAAGGAGCGAGCCGTGACCTTTCTTATATCCATAATGTCTGCAAGCCTCACATTGTCCACCGTGACATCAAATCCAGCAACATCCTACTTGACAAAGAATTCAAAGCTTATGTAGCAGATTTTGGGCTGTCAAGACTGATCCTGCCCAACAAAACTCATGTCACAACCGAGTTGGTTGGCACTCTTGGTTACATTCCACCTGAGTATGGCCAAGGGTGGGTGGCTACTCTGAGAGGTGATATATACAGTTTCGGAGTTGTCCTACTTGAGCTGCTCACAGGATTGCGACCTGTTCCAGTTCTGTCAACATCAAAAGAACTTGTCCCGTGGGTGCTGGAGATGAGGTCTCAGGGAAAACAGATTGAGGTCCTGGATCCAACACTCCGTGGCACAGGGCATGAAGAGCAAATGCTGATGATGCTTGAAGGTGCTTGTAAGTGTGTGAACCATAATCCTGTCATGAGGCCCAGTATAATGGAAGTAGTCTCATGCCTGGAAAGCATAGATGCTGGCCTGCCGACGCAAAAGTCAGCCAAGACATGAAGCAGTAAGCATCTAGTTACACATGATGATGCTGCAGTTAGGTGAATAGAGTAGATATACTTTTCTCTGTTTTTTCACTAGAGGTACCGATTTGAGTAAATTTTGAGGAAGATAAGTACTCATCCCCACACCTACTTCTTTTTTCTTGGAAGTACGAACATGTATGCTCTGATCAGTTTCTGGACTATTGTGGCAAAGCAAAAGCAAGTGAAATACTAATGTGCTTTCTGAGTTGTTACTAGCTCATACTCATGCATTAGATGCTGTGATCACTCAGCTGTGGCTATGATAAACAAAGTTCTGAAACCACTGGAATGGAGTGGGGATACAGAGCGAGTAAATTCAAAAATTGTCTGGCTAAAGTATGAAATGGAGTGGCAGCATGATAATACGTAGTACAAGGTTTGGTTTTGAGACGATCACTAAATAAATCTCGACATGCATTTGGACAATGCGAAGCCCACTGTACCTGTACAAAGTAGTAACCATGCATCCAGAAGTTTGACCCGGCGAGGAGACCAGGTCCTTGCAGTACGCGGCCGTGCGCCCAACGTCCTCGGCCTAACCGACGCGCCCATTAACACCTGTCATTCGACAGCCACCGTATCCGTCCATGGAGTCCCCAACCCAAGTGACGGGTCCTGGCGGCGGCATTTCCATGAACACCCTGAGCGCGCGGCTTCCGAGACGGCGGTGCCACGCTCCCTGCCGCCGGGATCGGCATTGCCTCCTGCAGCACTGGGCTGGGCACGCACGCGGCCGAGCGGGAAGGAGCGCCCAACGCGAAGCGGCGATGGCACGGTCCGCGGGTGTTGGTCGGGGAGAGAGAGGAGCTACTGCAGAGTGCAGTGTTCGCTAGTAGTAATGCTTGCGGTTGCGGCCCGGCCAATAACCCAATCATGGGTCCGAAGGTACCGGCGCCGCGCCTGGGTGCAGTTTGGTAGATGGTCAGGCCAGTTGAGCGAGACGCGCGGCGATTGGGATGCCGGCGACCGCCGACGGAGGCGCGGGCTCGATGACCGGGGCCGCCATGACCGAGACCCCATCCTCCGTCCCTTCATCCCTCCTACCAGATAAAGATGGCAGCGGATCGGGTTCGGTGCGGGTATCCGCGGGTTTCGGGTCCGCGGTTTTCGGTTTCGGTTCCTGGTTTTCACCCACGGATTTGCGGGTTCGGATACCCGAAATACCGCGGTTTTGGGGCGGATATTAAAATTGACCCGTGGAGCTCCATCGGGGCTCCGGAAATTTCAGCCCACCAGAAGCCCACCTAGGAACCCTAAGTATATAAGCGTGGAATCGATGATTCGTTCAGCCCCCAACCGGCCAACCCTCACTCCCTCAGCCCTCATCCGCATCCACGGATCCACCCAGGCGCCGCAGCCGCACAGCCGCATCCACGCACGGGCGACGAGCGACGGCGGGTCGGCGGCTCGTTCCTTCCCCGCATGGCCGCACGCAGGTACGGCGGCGCATCCTGATCGGCGACTCCGGCGTCGGCAAGTCCAACCTGCTCTCACGCTTCACGCGCAACGAGTTCAGCCTCGAGTTCCGTCTTCCTGCCGTTCCGCCGACCAGAAGAGGTGAGCCGTCCGTCCTCTTGCCCTCCTCGCTCTCAGCCGCCGCTTTCCATCCGTTCGTTTCCCCGCCTCTCCGTTGCTTCCTCATTGCTGGGCTACTTACCGGTGCGGCGCTCGCCGCCGCCGCGGTCTACAGGTGCGGGGCGTGGGGACGACGCCGGATCTGTGGTGCCGCCGGTGGGGCAAGATCTGGAGCGAGGCTGCGCGGGAGCTGATCCGGAGCTGCGTCTGGTGTGCCGGAGCTTGGCCGCAGTCGACGCCGCGCCTGCTGCTGTATGCGGTCGCTTAGGTATGGTTCCTCGGCCGTCTTCTTCTTGCGCTTACTGCTTATGAAATCGATCTATAGAGATGTGACATTTTGATTTTTCTTGCGCTTACTTGCATGGACACGGTCTCAGTCTCTCAGATTACTGCCTATAGTTGAGAGCACTCTGTAAGTCTCATTCTAGGCGGCGTGCATGCCAATTGTTCTTGGTGTCAGCGTAGATGTTGCTCACTGGCATCAGGTTTCAAACTGATGGTATATTTTACAGAGTCTAGTATTTAAGCTCATAGTACTTCTCATGGGTGCCATGCTAAAGGCTCTGTTGAAACCCTAAGATGTAAAATTCTTCAATTATACGCTATTTGCAATTGGCATATATCTGTGCAGTTTTGTGAAAAATTTGTTTTCTGCAATTCTCTCTATTCATAGAATGAATTCATTGCTGCAATTGGCTCACACCAAAGGATATATGCAATTTTTCCATATGTTGTTCAGAAAAGTTTTTTTTCCATATTTGCTGCAATTGGCTCTGTTGAAACCTGCACTCATTGCTGCAAATGGCCGTAAATTGAAGTGATTTCCACTTTCTTATGCTTTTCTTATTGTCAATAGCCATTGAAAAGTTTGTTGAGAAGTTAGCCCATCTTATGTCTATGCTCATCACGAATTTCCCTTTTGTATTTGTCAGGAAGTGAGCAATGTCGGCTCCTGGCGCTTCAAGTGGGTCTCAAGCTGCTGCTGCTGCATCTCAATCTGTGGGTTCTCGTCCACGTCTTACAGCCAATTCAGCAGCACCGCCATCCGATTCAGCAGCACCGGCAACTGATTCTGCAACTCTAGGTAATAATTCAGTGGTAGAGGTAGAAGATGATGTTCCTGTTGGTAGTAAGAGGAAGCTAAGATCTGAAGTATGGAAAGACTTTGATTTGATTAATGTAAGTGGGGTATGGAAAGCAAAATGTAAATGGTGCAAAAAACATTTAGGTGGGGAGACAAGAAATGGTACAACCCACTTAAAGAATCACATTGCTGTATGTCAGGACAGAGCTACTAGAAAAGGTTTAACACAGTCTACTCTTAAATTATCTGCAAACCCACAAGATGGCACTGTCACATTAGAGAAGTATGTGTTTGATCAAGATGTCGCTAGGAAAGAACTTGCTTTAATGATTATTGTCCATGAGTTTCCTCTTTCCATGGTGGACTATGTTGGATTTCGCAAGTTTTGTGCTGCATTGCAGCCAGCATTCAAGGTAGTGTCTAGAAACACAATTAGGAAGGATATCTTGGATATGTATCAAGTGCAGAAGCAATCTATGGTGAATTACATCAAAAAATTGAGTGCTCGTGTTGTTTGTTACTACGGACTTGTGGACAACAAACCACCGGAGAAAAAGGTTACATGGCGATTCTGACCCATTTTCTAGATGAAGATTGGAAGCTTAAAAGTTTTCTTATTAGGTAATAATAAATCACATCATTTTGTGTTCTTGTGGACAGCAAACAACCAAAGAAAAGTTTTCAGATTAGCTAAAAAGTTTTCTTATTGTTGTAGGTTTATTTATGTTCCGCACCACATACTGCGAGAGGTTATAGCAGAGGTTCTTCATGAAGTTCTCCTAGATTGGCATATTGAGAGGAATCTGTCCACTATAACTCTTGACAACTGTAGTGTCAATGATAGCCTCATGAAGACCTTGATTGGCACCGATGGTGATGACCTTGCAAAGAACAAGGCTGCTGTGGAAGGCAAGTTACCACTCCTCTCTTGTATGTTGAAGGGCAAATTAATTCATATGCGTTGTGCTGCACATATTTTAAATTTGATTGTGAAAGATGGAATGAGTGTAATGGAGAAGGGAATTGATAATGTGCGTGATAGTGTTGCATACTGGTCGGCCACTCCTAAAAGACATGAGAAGTTTGAGAAAATGGCAGCACAAATGAAAGGAAAATATGAGAAAAGAATTGCTCTTGATTGTAAAACTAGATGGAACTCTACTTATATTATGCTTAGCACTGCACTAGTTTACCAAGATGTTTTTGAGCGCCTTGCTTCTCGTGCTCCTTGTGTTCCATCTCAAGATGATTGGAAGTTTGCTAGAGAGCTTTGTGATAGGTTAAAGATGTTCTATGATGTAACTGAGCTACTATCTGGAACTAAATATGTCACAGCCAACCTTTTCTTCCCCAAAATATGCAACATTTTTTTGACAATTAGGAAGTGGCAAAGCAGTGAAATTCCTAAGGTAGAAGAAATGTCTATTAAAATGAAAGAGAAATTCAACAAGTATTGGTCGATGTGCATGGTTTGATGGTGTTGTTTCATCTGTCCTAGATCCTAGGTTTAAATTACAATTGTTGAATGCTCTTTTCTTAAAATTCATGGGTCGAAAGTGTAGCTATGGAAGTCTGTCAACAAAGTGAAAGACTTGTTATACAATCTGGTTTTGGAATACCAAGATTGTATGGAGGATGTTGCCACAACAGATGGTGCTCAAACTAGACCAAGTGCTCCTTCTCGGATGGATGATGAAGATTGGATTGACACTTTTGATGATTACATGTCCAAACAGCCACCGTGACCTCCACCTATGTCTTGACAGAGTTAGATTTGTACTTGGAAGAGCCACTGCTGCCTAGGACACAAGAGTTAGATATCATTCAGGTGGTGGCAACATGCAGGGGCTCAAATACCCAACATTACAAAAAATTGCACGTGATGTCCTTGCTATTCCTGTGACAACGGTGGCATCCGAGTCGACCTTTAGCACTAGTGGGAGAATAATTAGTCCACATCGTAGTAGGCTTGCACCATCAATGATTGAGGCACTTATGTGTATGCAAGCATGGTCTCATAATGACATGTTAGGTAAGTGCGGTTTCTATAAGTATGTGGTTTTCATTCCATATAAGTTATATAACTAATTTGTGAAAATCACATCAATGCAGGGTCTCATTCTACTTTTTTGTTGGTGCTTTGATGACTTGTCTTGATGAAAAAGATGAAGAAATGGTAGTGCTGTTGTTTCCTTGTATATTCAATTTGTGAATTTACAATCGTTGAACATTCAAGTAATGAGCTACTCTCTATTTTTATTTCACAGGATGAAGATGACTCCACCATAATTGATGAATGATGAACTATGTAATAATCTGGACAAATGTGTGTACTTTGTTATTTGTTTGGACCGTAATATGTGAACTGCTTGAACTTGGGTTGCTTCTCCAATTCTACCTTTATGGCGCTTTGCAATATTTGTTTGGACTGTAATTGATGAATGTTTGGACTGTAATATTTGTTTGGATGTTTGGACTTTGCCACTTTGGACTAACTTCTCGTACCATGTAATACGTCAGATATGTGTGTAATATCATTTGTTTGGACTTTGCCACTTTGGACTGTAATACTATTGTTTGGACTGTAATATTTGGACAATGTGTTTTGTAAATGGTGGACACAAATGTAGCTGCTACTTGCATGTTCTGTACAATATCCTCGGTTTCGTTAATCCATCGGGTTTGGGATCCATGGGTTTCGATTTTTGGGG